CGGGTGAGGGAAGGAGAAGAGGTGATGACTGAATCATGTAGAGGACCGGGAGAAAGGGTGGCGCAAGGGTTGTGTAGCGTGTTACGAGCACTTGCGTCGGGTGATAAATGTGCGCAAAAGGGGGGCCGTTGTGGCGGTAGCTTTGATGGTCGGGGCGTGCGGAGGCAAAAAACAAACATGTTGAATGCGAAAGTGGCGAACCTGGTCGTTGAGCGGCGCTCAAGGTGTTGCTCGGTAAGCTGGCAACAAGATTGATTATAGGGGCGGTCACGAGGAGGGGGCGTGGGGGAAATGGAGAGAAATGGAGAGATTACAGGGGGGTTCTTGCGAGGGTGCATGTGGGAAAATCTGATGGCTTGGCAATTTATTCATTTGTCAAGGTTTTGGGGGGTTGGGATGCATTTCGGGGATCGAGGAGGGGGGGGCTTTTTTCCCCTTCTCTCGACCTTCATCGGTTGCGTGGTCATTTCAAAGAAGACCGACCGATTGTGAGTCAAGGGGCCGCGCTCCACTACTCACCAGATGCAGAAAAGACAAAATGTGGCGGCGGTGTAGCTTCCCTTGTTCTAGTGGCAGATTCATTGTCATTTTGCATACTTGGTGAGTAGTGGAGCGAGGCCCAAGCGCACGCGGTTTGGAGCTGTCGAGCGGCAAAAAGAAATTTCTAGCATACGCATCGGGAACTGCAGCGCTCAGGCACAACGGCTGGCTGCAGATGAGAATCACTGTGGATTATATTTCTGGAACTCAAAATAGACAGACACACAGACACACAGACAAAAAGACACACAGACAGACAGTCTTATTCTCCAACTGCAGATATCATCATAAAGCAATTAGAAACAGTAGGCGGGAGGAGTCCCTTTTTTGTACGCCCTCCTGTGATGTTATTATCTCATCGACGATGGTTGTACATAAATCTACACTTGGGGAAGTAGTTCTGAGCTGTGGGGCTGAGATGGCGATGATGACAATGGGCGATGATGACAACGTTCTCATTTGTTTTTTACCTTTTAAATTGAAGAGGATGACCCTCATTGTTTCAGTTTTGTCAGGTTTTGCCTTTTCACTTTTTGAAGTTTGATGGCGTGTCCCCCTCCCCC